TAGTGAATGCTGGAGTAACTCTGTGTTGGCCTTTACACTGTTGTTGGACTTTATTCGTCTACTAATGCTAAAGCTGAGGAGTGGAGCGTCCAACAACAACTCCACACTCAACCTGATTAACCATGCAGCATCTGGAGGAGGCATTCCGGTGTTTTCTACAGCAGTTTAACATGAATGATGTTTGTTTTCCAGCACAGGTTACTCCAGTGTTCTGTCCTGAAGACACGTCCTACATTTAACCATGGCGGAAAATCCAGAACGGGGATATTCTGACGGGTTTACCTTCAGAAACGCTGCTGTTCCTACTGTTGATGTTATTTAGTGTTGTAGAGAAACAGCTTGGGTGGTGCAGTGGTCAGCACTGTGGCCTCACAGCACTCAGGTCACTGGTTTGAGTCTCGGCTGGGTCAGTTGGTGTTTCTGTGTGGAGTTTGCATGTTCTCCCCGTGTTGGCGTGGGTTTCCTCCGGGTGCTCCGGTTACAGTCCAAACACATGCGCTATAGGGGAACTGATCAACTACACTGGCCCTAGTGTATGAGTGTGTGTGTGAATGAGTGTGTATGGGTGTTTTCCAGTGATGGATTGCAGCTGGAAGGGGCTCCGCAGTGTAAAACATATGCTGGAATAGTTGGCGGTTCATTCCACTGTGGCGGCCGCTGATGAATAAAAGGACTGAGCTGAATGAATAATGATGTTTTGATTTCTGCTGCTCTTCAAAGAGCTTTAGCAGCTAGCGTGTCTGCTAATGTTCAGCTTAATGACGTCCATCATGTGTTAGCAGGTCTGCTAGTTCAACACACACACACACACACACACACACATCTGCTCGGCGTTTATTTATCCAGCGCGCCATCGCTAATATAAATATGACGGCGTATGGAGAGAGACTCAATTTCAGATGTGGCGTTTGCGCTAATAATGGCAGCGCAGGCTGAAGGACACAGGACTCATTCTGGAGGAGTTTCTGCACAGCGTCGCCTGCTGACAGCATGAATACACTCACTATAACACCAGCACACACACACACACACACACACACGGGCCCTTAAGAAAACACACGCTAAAAGCCTGAGCTCAGGAAGTTTTGAATAAAAGCTTTTAGGCTGTTAGTGTGTTTATCCCAGCCGTCCATCACTGCAGATCAATACGCCATTCACACACACACACACACACACACACACACACACACACACACACACACACACAGCATTGAATATCGCAAAACTATAAGCATATTTCCTGACATGCTCGTTATAGTGTTAATAACTCATCTCTAATAACTGATGTCTTTTCTCTTTGTCATGATGACAGTAAATAATATTAGACTAGATATTCTTCAAGACACTAGTGTTCAGCTTACAGTGACATGTAAAGGCTTCACTAGGGTAATTAGGGTAAAGTTAGGGTAATTAGGCAAGTCATTGGATCCAAGACCAGCGATGAGATGATCCCAAGGTGTCCATATCTGGGACCAGGCCGTATCTGGAGCTGCTGCTGCGCTGTTGGTCGTGGAGAGTGGAGAGCATGAGTCTGATTCCAGTGGCGCTCCAGGGACAGACGAGTCTTCACTGAGGCCAGCTTCCAGCCTCCACCGTTGCTGCTCTGCACAAGACTTTTGGCCAGCGGAGAAATTAAAATGGTCGTGCTGAACTGAGTCTGGTTTCTCTCAAGGTTTTTTCTCTTCACTTTCATATTGGTGAAGTTTTTTCCCTCTCCGCTGTCGCCACTGCCTCGCATGGTTCAGGATCAGTAGAGCTACACATCGATGAATTTGCTCTTCAGTGTTTGGACTCTCAGTAATGATTTTAAATCACACTGAACTGAACTTAAACACTAAAATCTGAAACACACTGTTCCAGTTACTATGACCATTTATGTGAAGCTGCTTTGACACAATCTACATTGTAAAAGCGCTGTACAAATAAAGCTGAATTGAATTGTATTATGTAACGGAGGGTCTGACACAGAGGGATCCATTTGCAGTATATTTATTAAACAGAGTTTAATAACAAACAGCACACAGATGTTAAGTGTGTGCAAACTCACATAAAACACAGTTGTAGTTAGTCGAAGGGCTGGCGGCTGGCAAACACAAGGTGAGTATTCCGGCATGGGTCAAAGGCAGGCGGCGAGGATCAAAGTCAGGATGCAGGCTAGAGTTCAGGGCAGGCAATACAGAGTCGAGATACAGTCCACAGTTGTCAACGGGAAAGCAGGCAATGATCAGGAACCGCTCAGTAGTGTTAGCCGGGGCAGAACAAGACTTCTCACTGAACAGTAATGAGAGTGTGGCTCATATAGGTGAGTGTGGGTCGTTAGCGGGATGAGAAACAGGTGTGTGTACTTGTCAGTTTAAGTGGATACGTAATGTCTAGAAGTCCGTTAATGACCTCTGCTGGCCAGAGAGGGGAATGACTGGGACCGAGTCGGTGACATATAACAGTGGTCTGTTCTGGAGAAACTCCAACACTAATTTTGCTGAAGGGGGTAATAATATTGAGCTTAAAATGGGTTTCAAAATATTTAAATCTGCTTTTATTCTAACTGAATAAAACAAATAAAAAGAAAAGATATTAGAGGAAATACTGCGAAAAATTCCTGAATCTGTCCAACATCATTTGGGAAATATTTATTACGAAACAGTAATGAACTGTAAAAGCACGTGAACTGAAGAGCGGGAAGCGGGTACTGCCGGGAAAAACTGGAGTGTTGGTTGGAATGATTATGATTTATCCCTTAATCGAGCAGATCTACCCCAGTGTACTGTAGATCTGGATGATGCCTCTTCATGAACTGACACACACTGATCACATCCAGACACATCCGACCTGAACCAGGCCAATGCAGTCCTGCAATACCAACATCATCTTCAAGCCTATCAAGGAGAATATTATGATGGACTGTATCAAAAGCAGCACCGAGGTCCAATAACACTGAGAGAGAAATGCATGATCAGACGACAGGAGGAGGTCATCATGTGGAACTCCCGTTAAGGCCCGTGCACACAGAGACATTTTTTGCTCACGTTTTTCATCGACGTTTAACGCCTCGTAACTAAATAAAGGGCGTCAATGTGATCGTATAGACCAACGCGCAAAACGCCAGGCGCAAAAGCGTCATTTAAAAAGAAACGCCTCATGCTCGGTTTTGTATTTGACGCACTGCGTTAAAACCTTCTCCTCCAATCAGATTAACCCTTCAGTTCATGTGCATGGAGCTGCTGAAGTTACCGTGAACAGCACTTGGAGGTGCTCAAGCGCAAAACTGTCCATGCAAGTGTAGCAGTTTTACTCTGGTTGTGTGTTTTTTCCCAATAAGACAACAGCGACATTGGAGGTCTCAAATTTGGTTTATTCTGCAAAAAACACAGAGAGCACAATAATATGCCGAAAACGTCTCTCTCTTTTCCCACTCAGGCTCGTTAGCGGAGCGAGAGAGCATGCAACTAATTCAGTCAGCGGCGAATTCAACACTGAAGATGGCGCTGCCTGCCCACACATTGCATGAGTTGCTGTGTGCGCCACTAATATGTGCTCTCCATAAACATTTGCCAACATGGTTCCGCATAAAAAACATCTCCATCAAAACTATATACAGTACATTATAATTAAGAAAAGAAAATATAAAACAAAAGTAGTAAAAAGTAAAGCTTTGATGAAGTTCACTAATAATTTGCATTTGTATATTTTATACTTATTAGCTCAGCTACACGAGCGCACATTGAAGGCCCAGATTCGGCGATATGATCGTGGAGCTGCTTACTGCTCTGCTGAACACTTCTTCATCGCTAGAGCTGGAGCTGCTGCTTGAACCATCCATGCTTGTTCAAGTCTCCAGTAACTTTAACAACAAGCATGTGAACTTCCTCTCCTACTCTTCTTCTGTGTTACAAGCGGGTGTCGGAAGCTTAAAGTTGTGTAGCGCCATCTAACGTCAAGGAGTGATTTAGCAGACTCTTCTGCTCGACGCCAGTGAAAATCGATCGGGCTTGAATACGGAAAAACGTCTCATAAAACGCTGACGATAAACACAAACGAGAAGCGTCCCGGTGTGTAGGAGCCTTTAGGAGGGCTGATTCTGTGCTGTGAACTGCTCTAACTCCAGACTGACATTTCAGAAATATGTTGTTTTGTAGGATCACAGTTGAGCAGATGCCACTCTCTCCAGTGCCTCTGACAGAGACGCAGGGGAAATGGGTCTGTAATTGACTAGCTCTTTGGGCTCAAGCTGTGCTTTTAGTAATAAGAAGTTATCAGTCATCCAGTGTTTAATATCAGCTATTCAATCTGTTAACTGGCGGCATGGTGGCGCAGTGAGTAGCACAATCGCCTCACAGCACTCAGGTCTCTGGTTTGAGCCTCAGCTCAGTTGGTGTTTCTGTGTGGAGTTTGCATGTTCTCCCCATGTTGGCGTGGGTTTCCTCCGGGTGCTCCAGTTAAAGTCCAAACACATGCGCTATAGGGGAACTGATCAACTACACTGGCTGTAGTGTATGAGTGTGTGTGTGTTTCCCAGAGATAGGTTGCAGCTGGAAGGGCATCCGCTGTGTAAAACATATGCTGGAATAGTTGGTGGTTCAATCCGCGGTGGTGACCCCTGATTAATAAAGAGACTAAGCTGAGGGAAATGAATGAGTGAATCTGTTAATTATAAATTCACACAAGTTATCAGGTGAATGGACAAACCAGCAGGCTGTGTGTGTGTGTGTGTGTGTGTGTGAGTGCTGCTCTAGACTGTAGTTTCAGACATATACTGGAGTTTGGTTGACAGACAGATGCATGATGGGTAATCAGACTGACAGCAGAGCTTTAGATCACACAGACAGGAAGTTGATCATGACCAGAGGCAAACTGACAGTCATGTGACCCGCACTTCCTGTAACTTGACAACCGTGAAACAGCGCTACAGTAATGACATATAACATTACACACTCTTCCGCACTGCAGGCTGTGTGTGTGTGTGTGTGACACACACTGACTGTGGAGTGTTTGTGTTTCAGGGCATTTTCTGGGGAATAACTCTGTGATTGACGTCCTGCGGAGAGAAGGATACGAGGTAGAACACACACCTGCTGGACAACCACTGCACAGGTAACACACACACACACACACACACACACACACACACACACACAGATCTTTGTGTTGTTTTGGTTTTTTGGTCTCCAAAAACACAATCTGCTGATAAGCCCCGCCCACAGACTCATCTCATTGGTCCAAAGTCATGCTACACAGTTCCTGATTGGCTGAGAAAACTGAACTTCACTGCACTCTGAGTTTATTTACACTGCAGACAAACTGTGTGTGTGTGACCGGCTGATCCTAGAGCAGTTCTCCTGTCACTCTTAATGAGCGACAAGGCCTCCTTATACACACACACACACACACACACACACACACACACAGCTCATAATGAGCGTCCCGCGGGTCCGGCCGTGGTCAGAATGGGGCCATTGTGTGCCGAGCTCATGGGCTTCATCAGAATATATGCAGAAATATGAGCAGTGTGTGTGTGTGTGTGTGTGTGTGTGTGTGTGTGTGTGTGTGTGTGTGTGACAGACTGTTCAGCCTGCAGAGGAGCTGATGTGTGTTTCAGACAGTTACACTTCCAGCAGGAACACCAGAGTTCAACACACACACACTTTTACTAACTCATATCTGCACACACACACACCAGTGCGCACACACCCTCTGGCGCTGCTGTTTTGTTTTCTGCAATATGAATATAATTCACCTCATAACTAGAATATCTCTCTGCTAAACTCACACTGCCTGCTGCTCTCGGGGACTCTGCTACTCTTACTTCACTACCATACTGTATTCAAACTCAAGCAGAATATTGAGCAGGGGGCGGGGTTAATGTTGAGCCCCGCCTCTTTTACTCCCAGCAAAAACTAAACACAAACACAATGTGTGAAAGCTGCGCTGTCGATATATTCAGCGTATTAAAATACAGATATAGTCATTAAAATACCAGTTCACTGACCAAACAGAAAGATCAGACACGTCATCATAAAATAATCACCACAAATAATTACAAAGTACACACTCACTCAATCAGCTCAGTCCCTTTATTCATCAGGGGTCACCACAGAGGAATGAACCGACAACTTATCCAGCATACCTTTTACACAGCGGATGCCCTTCTAGCTGCAACCCAGTACTGGGAAACACTCATACACACTCACGAGAACATGCAAACTCAAACCAGACTCAACCCAGAGACCTTCTTGCTGTGAGGCGACCGCGCTGACCCGAACTACAAAATTTCTAGGGAAATGTTCAATATTTTAGGTTTTTAACATCATTTACTCTTATTCCCCCACACATTCACTCGTGCTGTATTAATGTTTGGAGCGTGATCTTCAGGTATTTTCTCAGATTAACTGAAATCTCAGTGTTTGAGATTAGTGAACGCTGTCTGCATCCGTCAGTGGAGATCTGATAATGTGAGCTGTTATGGTGAGATGAAGCCGTCCGTCCTCACAGAAACACACACATCAGCATCAGGAGTGTGTTCAGCTGAAGGAGACCTCCATTATGGAAATGTGCCGTCTGGCTCCGCCGCCGATAATTTGCATCGTGTTTGCGTTGGTAATGTAACAGAGCGAGTCTGATCAGAGACCAAAGCCAACAGCACACACTCAATCATAACCACCATCATTCTGCTCTGTCATCGTGATCATGTCAAATGATCATCAGTGGCCGCAGTACTATAGCATACGGGATATTAGAACAAGAAAAAATATTCATTTATATATTATATTTATTAAGACAAACTCCAATAAAGGGTCAACTGTGTGTGTTAGAAACCAGTGTGTTTATGACAATACAAACAACTAAATATTCTGATTAAAAATGCCAAGCAGGATCATTCAGAAACACACACTCACTAGTGAAGAACAAGAGAACGAGGCCTCGAGTCTCGACACATCTCAGTTACACCACGCTAACATGAAAACAAACCTGGCGAAATATACCCATAACATCAATCTCCACATCGGTATTCGTCTTATTGTCATTTATTGACATGGTGTGTGTGTGTGTGTGTGTGTGTGTGTGTGTGTGTGTAGACGGTCAGGCTGGAGGTCTGCAGATCCCGCAGACACAGACGCAGCGCTGCAGCCGTTCCTCCACCACAGCAGGCATCATGAGCTGCAGCTTCTGGAGGGTCTGGAGCTGCTGGAGAAGGTGGAGCACAAGCTGAAGAAGAAACACCGCAGAAACAAGCTGAAGAAACAGCGGCAGTTCAACGACCTGTGGGTGCGCATGGAGGACAGGTGCGCATACACACACACACACACACATCAGTTCAGTTACACACACTACTGTTACCATGGTGACAGACACTTCTAGTTGTTTTCTGAGGTCACTTTATTTTCATTAGAACCTTCACAAAAATACTGTGGGAAAAACACGAGCGTCGGTCACCGGTCGAGTTTTGAATCCGAGCGCCATCACCGGTCGAGTTTAGAATCCGAGCGTCAGTCACCGGTCGAGTTTAGAACCAGAGCGTCGGTCACCGGTCGAGTTTAGAACCAGAGCGTCGGTCACCGGTCGAGTTTAGAATACGAGCGTCGGTCACCGGTCGAGTTTTGAATCCGAGCGTCGGTCACCGGTCGAGTTTTGAATCCGAGCGCCATCACCGGTCGAGTTTAGAATCCGAGCGTCAGTCACCGGTCGAGTTTAGAACCAGAGCGTCGGTCACCGGTCGAGTTTAGAACCAGAGCGTCGGTCACCGGTCGAGTTTAGAATCCGAGCGTCGGTCACCGGTCGAGTTTAGAATCCGAGCGTCAGTCACCGGTCGAGTTTAGAATCCGAGCGTCAGTCACCGGTCGAGTTTAGAACCAGAGCGTCGGTCACCGGTCGAGTTTAGAATCCGAGCGTCAGTCACCGGTCGAGTTTTGAACCAGAGCGTCGGTCACCGGTCGAGTTTAGAATCCGAGCGTCGGTCACCGGTCAAGTTTTGAACCAGAGCGTCGGTCACCAGTCGAGTTTTGAACCCGAGCGTCGGTCACCGGTCGAGTTTAGAATCCGAGCGTCGGTCACCGGTCAAGTTCTGAAGCAGAGCGTCGGTCACCAGTCGAGTTTTGAACCCGAGCGTCGGTCACCGGTCGAGTTTAGAATCCGAGCGTCGGTCACCGGTCGAGTTTAGAATCCGAGCGTCGGTCACCGGTCGAGTTTAGAATCCGAGCGTCGGTCACCGGTCGAGTTTAGAATCCGAGCGCCGTCACCGGTCGAGTTTAGAATCCGAGCGTCGGTCACCGGTCGAGTTTAGAATCCGAGCGTCGGTCACCGGTCGAGTTTAGAATCCGAGCGTCGGTCACCGGTCAAGTTCTGAAGCCGAGCGTCGGTCACCGGTCGAGTTTTGAACCAGAGCGTTGGTCACCGGTCGAGTTTTGAACCCGAGCGTCGGTCACCGGTCGAGTTTAGAATCCGAGCGTCGGTCACCGGTCGAGTTTAGAACCAGAGCGTCGGTCACCGGTCGAGTTTAGAATCCGAGCGTCAGTCACCGGTCGAGTTTTGAACCAGAGCGTCGGTCACCGGTCGAGTTTAGAATCCGAGCGTCGGTCACCGGTCAAGTTTTGAACCAGAGCGTCGGTCACCAGTCGAGTTTTGAACCCGAGCGTCGGTCACCGGTCGAGTTTAGAATCCGAGCGTCGGTCACCGGTCAAGTTCTGAAGCAGAGCGTCGGTCACCAGTCGAGTTTTGAACCCGAGCGTCGGTCACCGGTCGAGTTTAGAATCCGAGCGTCGGTCACCGGTCAAGTTCTGAAGCAGAGCGTCGGTCACCAGTCGAGTTTTGAACCCGAGCGTCGGTCACCGGTCGAGTTTAGAATCCGAGCGTCGGTCACCGGTCGAGTTTAGAATCCGAGCGTCGGTCACCGGTCGAGTTTAGAATCCGAGCGCCGGTCACCGGTCGAGTTTAGAATCCGAGCGTCGGTCACCGGTCGAGTTTAGAATCCGAGCGTCGGTCACCAGTCTAGTTTTGAATCAGAGCGTCGGTCACCGGTCGAGTTTAGAATCCGAGCGTCGGTCACCGGTCGAGTTTAGAATCTGAGCGTCGGTCACCGGTCGAGTTTAGAATCCGAGCGTCGGTCACCGGTCGAGTTTAGAATCCGAGCGTCGGTCACCAGTCTAGTTTTGAATCAGAGCGTCGGTCACCGGTCGAGTTTAGAATCCGAGCGTCGGTCACCGGTCGAGTTTAGAATCTGAGCGTCGGTCACCGGTCGAGTTTAGAATCCGAGCGTCGGTCACCGGTCGAGTTTAGAATCCGAGCGTCGGTCACCGGTCGAGTTTAGAACCAGAGCGTCGGTCACCGGTCGAGTTTAGAATCCGAGCGTCGGTCACCGGTCGAGTTTAGAATCCGAGCGTCGGTCACCAGTCTAGTTTTGAATCAGAGCGTCGGTCACCGGTCGAGTTTAGAATCCGAGCGTCGGTCACCGGTCGAGTTTAGAATCTGAGCGTCGGTCACCGGTCGAGTTTAGAATCCGAGCGTCGGTCACCGGTCGAGTTTAGAATCCGAGCGTCGGTCACCAGTCTAGTTTTGAATCAGAGCGTCGGTCACCGGTCGAGTTTAGAATCTGAGCGTCGGTCACCGGTCGAGTTTAGAATCCGAGCGTCGGTCACCGGTCGAGTTTAGACTCCGAGCGCCGGTCACCGGTCGAGTTTAGAATCCGAGCGTCGGTCACCGGTCGAGTTTAGAATCCGAGCGTCGGTCACCGGTCGAGTTTAGAATCCGAGCGTCGGTCGAGTTTTGAATCCGAGCGTCGGTCGAGTTTTGAATCTGATTGTCAGTTACAGTTCAAGTTTTGGATCTGTATTTTTTAAGAAACGTATATTGTCTTGTAAGTGAGAAAGTATTGAGTTATTTTAATAGTTGCTTAAAAAAGTAATCTGATTATGTAACTGATGTCACTTTCCTAGCACTGATCAGAGGTCAGTATCGGGTTAAACAGGTTTCTGTGTGTGGAATTGCTTCTCATGTTGTGTGTGAGTGATAGCCAGATAAAGCTGAGATATAGTGTGTATGTCCTGCGGCTGCCGGACACTGAGACTCCTGAGAGTGTGTGTGTGTGTGTGTGTGTGAACACGTCCAGGCCTGCACCACTCCAGCACTCACAGAAACACATTCCTGACAACAGCATCCAGAAACACTCAAACAGCAGATCAGCACACCACAGTCAGGGTTTGATCAGCACAGAGACGAGCAGACGGTGAAATCACGTCGACCGTCATGTCACTCTCAATCTGGATCAATGAAAATATCAGACATTAAGAGTCCTCCTGTGTCTGATTTAAGACTTTGTAGACATTTAGACTAGAATCAGTCAGCATTTCCCAGAGCAGCAGCAAGTATAGTGTTGTGTTCAGCAATCATGAGTCAGATTCAAGAGGGTTTCTGCTTAAAGCAAGCAGAATACTCTGACCATGGAGGAGCAGAATACTCTTGTTTTTGCTTTAAAATAAGGTTATTTTGCTTGCTTTTAAAGGAAAAATGTTTAGTTTTTGACATATCTCAGAGGGTTTTTCTCTGCTGAGCTTCATTCGTGTTCTGGACGTTTGCTTGAGTTTACTTTAGGAGTCGCCCACGTGTTTCTGAGTGAAGAAATGAAAGTCTTCAATAAACAGTTTCTGAAAGCGCAGCAGGGCCCGGGTCAGGCCCAGACGCCCAAAACAAACACAGACCCAGAGTATAGAGAGGACTTATTCCAGCTCTGTGGAGGGAAACGAGACGCTGGCGCATGTGGAACCTCCACACACACACACACACACACACACACACACACACACACACACACACACACACACACACACACACACACACACACACACACACACACACACACACACACACACACACACACACACACACGGTGATGTTTCAGTAGAGCACTTCACACACACTGCTGAAAGATTGACAAACAAACATCATCAAATACGAGACAGACTCAGATTCTCTCATGACAACACTAGCTGTGCATCCATCCAAAGATGAGAATTACCTATGCACAAAGCTGTAATATCAGCTGATCATCAGAGAGATGAGCGTCTCCATCAGTGCTGCACAGATCTGACTGAGAGCAGTGGAGTGTGCTGCACTGTGGGGATTCTCCACTGTGCTGTTTGTTCTCCTCTAATAAATGAGTCTGAACACCAAGACCAAACGCAGTGAACACGGTGAATGTGGAGTCTTCTGGAGGACTGAGACAGGAGCGCAGACAAATGATCAAGACAGTTCTAGAGGGAATATTAATAATACTGAAGCACTGTGATGACTGATGGAGACAATTGTCAATGCAGTGTGTGTCTAAAGTGCGCATATCAACAGGTGTGTGTGAAGCGGACTGAGACTGAGTGCAGTGTTATTGAGTCTTCGACAGAATGATCTGTCCATCAGGCTGTGATAGACATCAGGCGTCGCTCGCGGGTGGATGTTGACACAGATGGAGGATCTGAATCAGACGCTTTATTTATGTTCCAGTCCGTCCACACACACTGCACACCCACATTTATTTTCCCTCTTTCAGCGTTTAGTGTGGCTTCATATTTCATCAAGGCACAGATTCAGCCGGCGGCTCACCTGACTGCAGACGCTGAGCAAAACCACATGTTAAAAGCTCCTCTGATGCTCACTAACCCGTCTGGAGCTCCAGCAGATCCTCCGGCTCGCTGCGTCTGATCTGGAGCTCAGAGAACACCGCGCTGCTCTCAGAGAACTCTCATCTCACTGCTCCTCCCGAGATAACTGTGGAGCTTCACCACTGTTCAGTACATCCAGCTGATCTCACAGTGTGCCGCGAGACCTTGAGCTTAGCATAGATCATTGAATCGGATTGGACCATTAGCATCTCACATAATTTTAGATGAAATGGAAAAAAATGAAAAGTGTGTGCTGATTCGTACAGGAACTATACTCTCATTCTGGCGTGATTATCAATTAAATTTACTGACGAAGCATGACTGCAGCAGCGCGATGATATTAAACCAGCTGGGAACTACTTTCAGGCTCTGTGTAACATCACGGCACTGCTGGTTCAGATTATTACGCCAGAATGAGAGTTCCTATATTTATTTCAGCCTACAACATGGCTACTTTTCATTTTCTGTCGATCTTCTAACATGATGTAACTAGACACGGGTCAGTATACGTTTCTGACGGTATGATAACCATTAATAAAACATCACGGTTTCCCGGTATTGTGATTACTGCTCTAAAAGAAATTCATTTTAAATCCCATGATGCACCACGAGAGAATTTATGAATGTGAGTGCAGCATGCGTCACGTCATCATGATTAAATGGCGGATGTAGGACGTTCGAGCTTCATTCATACAGTATAGATCACACTTTTCAAACGGCCGAGTAAAGTCATGTTGTAATGCAGCACCCCTACTGTAGGCGAATCTGGACACAGCCAATACATTTGATTTTCAGAACCATGTATAATATTGTAAAGCAGTGAACATGTCTGGCTGATAAGGGTGTCACGATTTCCATTTAAATCGAAATCGATCGAAATTCATGCTCAATTTTGATTATCGAATCAAAAAATAGAATCGATGCTGCCACGCCCCCATGTCACATCAGCTTGGCTTGCCATGCAGGAAAAAAACACGCATGTTGAACTGCAGACGCAGGAGACCCGTCGACAGAACTGAAACCCTCTCCTCTTTCACTGAAGTCGCCGGTGTGGAAGTATTTTGGATTTTCAGTGAGTTATGTTGACAAAGCACAGTTTGCAAGCTCTGCTATGTACGCATTAGGGTTGGGCCGATAGAAGATGGGCGCATCGCGATCCTCCGCCCCGCACCCGTTGCAAATCCGCTCGCGAAAAGTACACACTCAGGCCCTGTTTACACTAATATGTCTGTGTTTTTAAATGGATTTTAGAACAACAATGATCCACATCCACACTGGCGTGTAGCATTTCTGAGCAGCCCTCCTTCCTCACTACCGCTGAAAACACACATCACGTGACCACACACACTCATTCACACACAGACGCACACACAGTCATGCGCTCGAGACAGCAGGTCCAGGCAGTCAGCGGGTCAGTAGACTGCTTCAATCTTTCACTTTCACACTTGTACTTAGTCATTTTAGCGAACACCTCAGATACTGTTGGCTGGTTCCTGTTGGTTGTGCGTCTTTTTTACCGATGCCATTATAACGACACAGATCACTGCCTATTCACGAGTCCCGCAGAAAAAGCGATTGACAGGTGGTAATTATGTGTGCATCTTGCCTTTATTCATTTACTGTATGATTTGTTTATGGGTAAAACAAAGACCATGCAGGTCAGGTAGTTTAAACGGTAGGCTACTAATAATTAATTCAATATTTATTAATTAATTATTTATAATCGAAAATCTAATCGAACCGTGACTTTAGTATCGAAAATGTAACCGAATCAAGGATTTGGAGGATCGTGACACCCTTACTGGCTGAATAATGAAAATGACTTGACTTCTTCTGTCTTCATTAGCATCTAAAACACAGATTTCTGAACAATTTAGACGGGCATCTTTAGAGATCTGCTGGCGATACTGTTAGTCTAATAAAAAAAAACGTAAGGCAAGTGTATTTCTATAGCTCATTCCATACAGTGGCAAATCAAAGTGCTCTACATAAACAGGAATCAAAGAAACAAGTGTAAATAAAGCAAAAACAAATAATATCGAGACAGTGTAAATACAGTTTTCCATATTGCAGAACACCGCTGTATCATATTTTCTCACTTTACTCTGGGACTTGCCCATTCTGGAGATCACCCCCCCACCCCTGTGGACTTTTTTGGTACCTATTAATCTACTGGACGTCTCCAACAGATGACATTTTTCACCTACAATTGAAAAGTTAAGCTTTACAGCTCTAATGACGTGCCCCCCAATTCTAACTTCCGTCTGGAAGTAAATTGCACGGCCTCTAATGTCTGCCTCCTCCCTGGAGTAGATTGCTTTAGCTAGCCAAACGAAAAAGGTCTTGATTTCAGCCACCCCCCCGCCCAAAACTTTATCTATGCCACCTCAAAATATATCTGGGAGCATTTGTGCGAGTGCGTGAAATTGGTGCCGTGCGAGCGGTTTCACTGCTAAATGTTCACCACACACACAGATTCACGCGCTCAGGAATGATTATGCGCATATCTAAAATTAGCATAAAAACAGGTGGATGGAAACAAATCTACTGTTGATGATGAAACCACTGTCATGACTCTAGCTACATTAGAATAATCCAGTATATTCACTGCTCTCTCTCTCTCTCTCTCTCTCTCTCTCTCTCTCTCTCTCTCAGTGTGACAGCCGAGGCTCCGCCCCCTCTCATCCACATCATCAACGGTTACATCACAGTCCAGACACACCCACAGGAGCACGAGAGAGCCAATCACGACAGGACGTTTTCAGGCTCCTCCTCACGGACAGGCCCCGCCCTCAGTGCGCTGGCTGTGTGTGTTCAGATGCTCAGACTGCTGCTGTGATGAACAGATCCTGAAACACAGTCGTGACCTCATTTCCTGAAGAGACACTTCCTGTACATAGCAGATGTGTATTATAGATGACATTAGAGTTCTGGATGTTTGTTTAATTATAAATATATATAAAGAAGAGTTGTTATGTTGCTGTGATTGAATCATCATCATCTGACCAGCGTCCCCACACCGGCCTTCATCATCAGGAGCAGCTGCAGTGTTTGGGATATACTGTGAGGAATACAGCCGCATTATACTGGGGAAATCAGACATATTATTGAGATGACCATACATCTAACCTGCAAATAGAGGAGGGCGATGTGACAAACATATCCCCCAGATCACCACTATATCCTGATTCTTCCTGATGCTGGATTTCTGATCTTACAGCAGCTGCTCGATACACACCTCTACTGTTTGCTCAATAGACTTATTTTAATCGAGCTGAAACACAACTCTCATGACAACTGAACAGTTTCATGTTCAGTCCACTTACATGTGTAAAAACTTAGTCCCTTCATCTTGTCCCAACACAAATCAATCAAGCTAACTTAATTGTTTCTATAGATTTAAGTGCATTAAACATAAAAAAATTTAAGTTGCCCCCCCCCAAAAAAAAAAAACAGAAGAATTGTGTTATTCCAACTCAGTTTAAAGAAGTAGTTTGAACAAGCAGCAGGATATGTTGAGTGAATGAACACATAAACATGAACAGTTGTGTGTGTGTGTGTGTGTGTGTGTGTGTGTGTGTGTGTAAGTTTGTGGTCTAAATGGACTCCTAGAGGAGTCTTTCGAACTATCAGCAGCCAACAACTGTTCCCTCAGTGTGTGTGTGTGTGTGTGTGTGTGTGTGTGTGTAATATTCTGCAAATTGTTGGAAACCACTGACATTCATAGTATGAAGCAAATACCACTAAAGTAATTAATTATGTTCTCTAAATGTTTCTCTAAATATCTTCGTTTGTGTTCAACTGAAACATTAAAACCCTCAAACCGGGCTGGCACAAGTCAAGCGTGAGCAAATGATGACAGCATTGTATTTTTGGGTGAACTGACCCTTAAATGGTGTTTTTTAGTCTGCTGTGCCTTTGCAGGCCCGTCATGATGAGGATGTTTTGTTGTGTCATATATTGTCACAGAAATTAAGATATTGATGTAATTTTGTGATCATCTTATGCCATTGATTGGTCCTACAGTGTAGCTGCATGATGATGCAAACATCCTTAAACACTTTAAAATACATTTCATTCCTTTAGATTCAACTCTCACTGGCCACTTTATTAGGTACACCTCACTATTACCAGGTCTGATCTCCTTTTGCCTTCAGATCTGCCTTAATCTTAGAGATTCAACAAGCTACTGGAAATATTCCTCAGAGATTTTGCTCCATATTGTCATGATAGCATCACACAGCTGCTGCAGATTTGTCGGCTGCACATCCATGATGCCAATCTCCCGTTCCACCACATCCCAAAGCTGCTCTATTGGATTGAGCTCTGGTGACTGTGGAGGCCATTTGAGTACAGTGAACTCATCGTCATGTTCAAGAAACCAGTCTGAGATGATTGAGCTTTATGACATGCTGCGTTATCCTGCTGGAAGTAGCCATCAGAAGATGGAGACACTGTGCTCATAAAGGGATGGACATGGTCAGCAGCAATACTCAGGTAGGCTGTGGCGTTGATGCTCAATTGGTACTAATGGACCCAAAGACAATCTCCCCCACACCATTACACCACCACCACCAGCCTGAACCGCTGATACAAGGCAGGATGATCCATGCTTTCATGTTGCTGAGGCCAGAACCAGTAAGAGCAGAACCAGTCTGCATCAGCTGAACCTGCATCATCTCTGTAGGGTCGTGCCGGCGTGTTTCAGTGTAGCATCATTTTACAAAGTCAGATTGGTTGAAATATTTTGAAATCATACAATCCTCTCTAATTCACCAAACGCCTGATGTAGCAGAGGTTGCTGCTTTGTATTGATCAGGATTGAAGTGCAGTTGAGTTTAATATTAACCCGCTGCAGCTTCAGCCGCTAATACAGCAAATAAACGTTGTGTTCGCATCACCACGTTAAGCTTTCCAGTAAAAAAACAATCAGAAATCAGTGTCGAATCAGGCAACAATTGCATGTAGAATCCCGATCAGTGCACCAGCAGCGATGATGATAACACTGATAGTGTTCTGCTGTAGTGCGCAGCAAGGATATGAACATCAGTGGCTTTATACAGGATGAAGGAGGCTTTCTCATCTCCTCTGTGGTGTTTAAGGCGTTGATAAAATGCATTTAATTTATTCAATAGATCATTTGAGTCGATCTAAATGTGTTTATGTGGCTGTTTTAGGCAGAATGAAAGTCATATTCCTGATATAGGGCATTACACTGCAAAACCGGCTGCTTTTACTAAGAGTGTTCAACTAGAAATAACACAGCAACTCCTAAATCCTCTAATCAAGACGCATTATCTAGACAAGCAAAACACAGAGTCTTGTTTTAAACAATATTACATGGAAAATGAAGTGAGTTAAAAACAAGTGAAATAATCTGCCAATGATCCAATGTCCAAGAAAAGACAGGGGTATTCTGCTTGCTTTAAGGAGAAACTCTCTTGATTCTGACTCATGATTGCTGAACACAACACTATATTTGCTGCTGCTCTGGGAAATGCTGACTGATTTAAGAGTTTGTAGACATTTAGACCAGAAACAGACACAAGCTCTGGGTGGAGAAGCCTGTTTTGCAGTGTGCAGTAATCGTGAGATGATTTTGGACCGTGGACAGAGCTCTTCACATGTCTCCTGCAGTCTTTAAAGGGCCATGAAACCCCCTCGTTTCAGCAGGGTGTTTCACACCTCTACTTTGGAAAAAGTCAGAAAAGTGGGCGTGTCCAGCTCTGCTTAGGGGGAATGTCGGAGGAACTAAAGGGTGAGGGTGTGGGAGTGTCTATTTGGGCACCTGCTGAGTTTCAGAGTCAAAAAACACACACACACACACACAGGGGAGAAAGTGACTGTGTTTACATGGACATCTGTAGTGGAATTATTTGCCAAATTATTAAATGGTGGACTTTAACTGCAGTTTGGCTCTTTCATTCAGGGAATTCATTCATGCCCCTCGCGACAAACTAGATATTTGATTGGAGGATCTGCTCTAAGCGTGTATTTTTCATGCAATGTTTGATACCGCACGGCGAATGAGAGAAAAAAACCCTCCGCATTTCCCGGAAACTTAGATGCACACGGCAGGTAGCGTCAGAAAGCCGCGTGTGTTATTCCGGTCACTAAATGCGATGAAAATCCTACACAAGGTTAAAGTTTGGTTGTGGTGCTAACATGTTTACACTCGGTGCAATAGTTTGTTCGATACGAATAGAAATAGAATAGTCGATAGCAACTAGAGCTGCGTCTTTATTAAGAGGAGACTAAAGCGAATCCGGATCTCAGCGTTTGCAGATGAGAACAGCTCTCAGGTAAACAATAATCCTCCTTAGACACGTAAGTTATTGTTGTCGAGCGTCGCGTACACTGTTAATCCACACGTGACTCCAGCTGAGCTCTCACAGAGAGAAAATGAAAACAAAACTTCACTGCAGCAAACTATAAAAGCAACACTTCACGCTTGTTCTGCCAACACAACGTGGCGTCTCTGTCGTCTAAACACTGTGACAGTAATGAATATTAATGAAGCTGCACAATAGAGCGCGCTGATTGGTTTGACCCAAGCTTTACTCATGCATTAATGCAGCACACTGTAAGATGTAATAAGACACACTCTGGCACAGACGTCCAGTCTGCACGCTGGAATACACGCTATTATCTCACGACCGTGACGCAGCTTCAAAAATTCGTTTCAAACCGGAAGTACGAATTTGCTTGAAATAACGCAAAAACAACCAATTTACACTTTTTAGTGAAATATATAGGTGTCCTAATAGTGTTTTCAGCAGTGTGGGACACATATACTACTGTCAACAGCTCAACACATGTGTTCTGGTGTTTCGTGACCCTTTAAGGACACACGTGGATTAGCCTCATGTATAGACGGATGTTCAGACTCTACAGGTTCTGCGGGAAACATCAGCTAGTGTCTCGACTTGCTGGAAAACATCTTTATTTAGCCACTTTAATACATCATTGACTGAATTATGATTCTGAATAAATGTGCGAGGGGTTTATATCGGTCAATGATACAAGTCCAGTGTTCTTACAAGTGAAAAACTAAAGGTTCAGGTATGATATGCTACACCAAACACTGCCATACACCATATTACTGTCTTATCCAGACCATCACATGCCACTCATACAATATATCAGTGTTTCTCAACTGGTGGGTCGCGGGAACATTTTCAGTGGGTCGCGGAGTGTGTGGTAAAAAAACAACAACAACAAAAGTTAAACTTTCTACTTATTTGCTTATACTAGACTTTTATTTTGAAATGCGTGCGCGACAACCCTACTGTTTGACATCTGAAATTTCATGTAATTATAGCAACAAATATGTCGAAGCCCAAGTAGGACCCCGAACATGTAAAGTATGGATATATATTTATATATATATATATATATAGACGACAAATAAGACTTAAAGCCTTAGTGTCATATGTAGTGAGGTGCTCCCTAAAGAGAGCATGAAACCTTCTAAAACAACATTTAGAAACCAGAAAACATGTTTTATTAACAGTTTATTATTAACAGTATTTGTCAATTTTACTTTGTAATATTTCTATTATTTGATCCATTTTGTTAAATGACAGCAGTAAAATTTTATTTAAAAGTTTATTTGTAAGTCTTGGTGAATTTCTTATGATTTATCTGTCACTACTTGTGTATGTTAACAAACAAATACAAATGAAGTATAATTCCCAAAACTGTATTATAGTTCCCAAAAATTTGGGTCGGGGCTTGATGACCATGTAAAAATTTGGGTCCCGTGGCCAAACCAGTTGAGAACCCCTGCAATATATGATGATCACACTCTTCAGAACACATCAGAGCTCATTCTTAAGA